ATAAAAATTATTTTTGCAAACATAACAAATTTCCAATATAAGTATTTGCAGAATTAACTGTATGGTATAAGCCTATTGATTGTATTTTAATACCCAAACATAATTTGCCATTTATATCCCTATTGAGATGATTTCGTGTTCAGCACAATTTTGTGGCTTCTTTATCGCAAAAATTACAAATTTTATGGTATCCGTGTATTTTAAGTTAAAAATTAGAAATCGCATATCAAATACATGCATTATACTGAGCATACGTTACGTTCTAACATTGATCGCAATACTGTTGCAATAAAAACGTGTTATACATTTTTCAACTAGACTACTTGTTAAACAATTAAACATAATGTTAACGATAACTCGTGTTTTCTCAGCATCGAACTAGTAACGCGTTACTGAGCCTTTTGAACACACTCTAGGAGGTCATCTGAGCTTCAGACTCTTTAAAATTTAAATACCTCTGTTCTTAGGTTAAATGAACCCGAAAGACCTCGGGCTCACAAATTCAGAACTTAACATTTCACTCACGACTTAACCGTGACAGACTCCAGTGCATGTTAATGAATAAGAATGTTACGAGTCGGCTTGTTACTACAGAGTTACAGTATGCACTAGAGGTGGGCGTTGTAGGCTGGTAGGCTGTAACGTTATAGTATATTTCAAACTAAAAGTGCCGGGATTTTGGGAAGTTTGAAACTGTTGACTTAAAGGTTTATCTTGAAACTAATCAGACATTTGGCTTCTGTATGAATCAATCAATTGATTCAATTCAATCTGAAATACTTCTACACATTGTCGTTGCCATATTCAAGATGGATTATTTAAATGGTTATACAGTAGTTTAATTGACCTAAATAATAAGACAGGAATTACTCTAATTATAAATTTCAAAATGCGTAGTTTTTTTACTTTCCTCCCTACCACCATTTTCAACCCAGCTCCAAATCTTTTTTTAGAAAGGTTCAATGAATAATTCAACCGAGCAACTTAATTTAAACGGTTTGAATGTAATTTTACCCTGGTTATTTACATATCTTTGACCCCTGGCGCAAAGCTGGGCTTGTGATGTTCTTATCAATCCAGTAGAACCCTTATCAGCCGCCTTGCATATGCATGAAGGCCTCGAGTAAATCACAAACTTGCATATGCCAGGGTAATACTGCATAATTGTATTTTCAGACCTGCATTCAATATTAATGTGAAATGTGCTATGTAAGCAACCTCTGTTTGAATTGATCTCATTGTGTGATACCTTCTAAAAAAAACTATTCAAACAATACGACAATAGAAATTTAATCTGATGACGAAATACATTTTTTCTGCACCAAAATTGCGATAATTTAAAATACATTGTTGACATGATTTCCGCACTGAACAAGAAATACGATAAAGAATATCGGGTGTTTTAAATATGAGAAAAAAGATTATGTTAACTAATCAAAAATTGTACTTAGCTAACAGTAAATTAAATACGTAGAAATTACATTGGAAGGCATAAATGTCTAAAGAATACTAACTTAATATGATAAATGTTAGTGTTTTGTAAGTGTGTAAAGTATAAAGGAAACAGAAGACTGGAAATAAAATAATGATAAGTGCAAAATCATTTTGATAATTTTTTAAAAACAAATAGGATAAAAAATCTAAAACATAATCATAATGGTTCCAGCTGGATCCAGCTGTCGTTTTGGGATTTTAATAATGGTCCTAGCTGACGAACCAGCTGATCTTAGTCAATAATAAAGCTGTCATATTCATTCAAAAAGGCAGCGTTCCTTTGTCTTCGCATAAATACGCCAGGCGTCATAAAAATATAAGCTGACTCAAATATTCTATTACATTAGTACGATGACCTGTTTGTTTCTGAATTGAGAAGAATTTTGACAATTGGTAATAAAAATGTTATTGTAGATGACTTATCTGAAATGAGTAAAAAAACAAAATTAAAAAAAAATCCATTGAAAAATCTTCCAATTTTTCTGATATTTTGTGGGTTTTATGTGAAATCGACATTAAAAATCAAATTTAAAAAATCGCCTGGAGATACCATATATTAGTGCCTACATACCGAATTTCATCAAAATCGGACTACAGGTGTGGTCTGTAGCTCTGGGCACACCCACATATACAGACTCACACACGGGCATAACTTCGAAAACTACTTTGTTGGGTTCATGGGGATTCAAAACGAATATATCCACTCTAATCTCAAAGTCGAAAATTTTAATAAAACAATATTTCTCCAAACGTATTGGGGGAGAAAGTAAAAAGTAAAATCTTAATGTTTAAATCTTAAATCTTAAGGGGTAATCTTCAGCTTTTGAAACGACGTAGATATTTATGTAGATTGTAACAAAATGTGTTTGGAATAATTTCGTTATTTCTGTTGCAGTGTCAGAAAGTCTGTGAAATGTGAAATCTTGAGATATTAAACTTAAGAAGTGGCGGAGATGAAACTTTTACTTTACAAACCACAATTTCTCGGTTTGACAACAGCCTCGTTTTGATTGTCAAACACACTGGTTGAAGTATTTTAGTGATTTTTATTGAATAAAGCAAAATGCTGGCAAAAATATTATACCGTGTATAAACTTATGTATTTAGAAACTACCTTATCTGCTTGTGTGATTGGTTTATTTATTTTCAGGTGTTCAGAATTAATACATTTAGTTTCGTTGAAATACTCGGTTCAAAATACTTAGAAAACCGTTTAAAAGGTTCGTTTCTAAGAGAAAAGTACTGTGCATAAGCAAATTGAAATGAATGCAAACATTGTTATAAGTATTATTTTTATAAGTATTAACCATTTTTACAGCAGGAAACGTATTTTCTGTTCAAAGGTTGATTGTGGACATTTTTCATCACGATGGTAAAAAACAATACACAACGTTTCGGGATCTGGAATCTGATCCCATTATGTTAGTGTTCCATTGTGTGAGCTGTTCACACTACACCTTTTATAGACAATAGTGCTTTGTGATTGGTTATCATTTGCATTCTGTATCATGACTTGACTGCTATACAGTTACATATTTTTTTACTGCTACCCTTGGTAGTGTATTCCAGCTTAGGTTGGGCGTTTGTGTATTGTTAGTTGTAATGTGTTAGTTAAGTTTTTTTCACCTGAGGTCGGGATCAGATTCCAGATCCTGAAACGTTGTGTATTGTTTTTTTTTTTACATTCGTGATGGAAAATGTCCGCAATAAACCTTTGAACAACATTAACTCACCATCACCAACAATGAATTTCAAAGAAACGTATTTTGTCGAAAGCCAAAATAAAGTTGTCAGTTATAATTATTTATCTAATAAAAGAAGGCACTTCACCCCTAACTTACCTATTGTTCTTGATAGTTACTGTAGAATCTTATTTTAGTCTGTAATTGGTGTTTGGTGGGGATCGAATCTGAACCTCAAGAACAAAAATATCTAGCTTCTAAATCCAAATTGCATCCCATTATCAGTGAAGTTCAACTTTGGAATTTTTAATTTTATTTCAACCTCATGTAAGTTTAAACAAACAAAAACGTTTTTCCAATGAAAACTGTATAGCCTACTTACTCCAACAGCTAAAGTGATGTAGCTTATTCAGCTATTCAAACAAAATCTAGCGTAAGAAAGCCGTATTCCAAAGACAAAAAAGTTGAGGATGATTTATTGTAAGTTAAAAACAGTCTCACATTAAGCTTGAAACTTTCAGTGAAGGGTGGTTTTGAGGTATCAAGGGCTGCTTGGCATTTTAATTATTTAAGTGGGCGTTCTCGACAAGGTCCAACCCGTTACTTAACTGTTATATATTTACAAATGTTTAAGTTCCTAGGTAACTTCAATAGGATAGGAAATCCATACTATTTCGTTTGATAACAAAAATACAACCAGCTTTTAGAAGAGAGATAGATTCCTCTAAAACATAGAGATTTATCTGTGAATTAATTACATGAAATGTCGTGTTTCATAGATCTGCCTGGCAACAGTAAACATACTCATTATTACTTTTTATTACAATTTCAGTTATAACCTTTTTAATTTACCACCCTAAAACAAAGAGTGCCGAGTTCAATTTAACACAGATTTCCTACAGTGTAATTTTTATGTTTACTATGATTTAACATGAGCAATATATAATACTGTCTGAAAAGTTATTTATTTTCATTCAAGCAAAATTAATACAACCATTGAGTATACACGTATATTTACAACTATTTTAAGTCTACAATACACTTCAAATAAAAAATGATATAATTTTAAAGCCCATTGAATGTTAGTGCAAATTATCTATCTTCTTCTATCTGCTTTACTTTACAGTAAGGGTTTTCTCTGTAGCATATTTTTTCTATCCGTCCTACTACACCGATTTTTACGATTTATGTGTCAAAGCTAATTATCTGGAGTAATGAATGGTAATGAAATAAGTAATTTACTTTAGGACTTCGCCCCCATAGCTTTGCGTTTCATGGCTCACACCAAGGATTCAGCTATGCTGACCAACTTTCTAGCTGTTTAAAATTGTAATTTAACAGCTGTTCCTTCAGTTGAATGTTTACCCATAGTTACATTGTAAAAGCGAAACATTTTATGGAAATAGATTTTAAATATGCTACTTTTCATACCGTAAGTGTATCCTGATTGTGGTAGGTAAATCATTATTTATGGTGTTATGATACATTTGTAGTTTTATTCTCCTAATAACTAACTGTATTAAACAAACATAATCTTTGTTTTTTTTTTAAAGGGCGTTGCATTGAATTGGTTTTGTCCCAGAAACCAGTTTTTAACATTAAAATACACTATTTGCCCATGCTTCTTCTCGTAGTTGCATCAACAGACTAGAATATAGAACTTTTATTAATCCACACTAACTTTGCACCGAACCAACTAAACTTTTCACAGTCCAACTGCATGTCTAAACTTCTCAGTTTTCACAAGCTTACATTTTCTTACACAACTGTACATTTTCATCCTTTCAATGTAAAATCTAACAAAATCGATTTTCTTCACTTTACCTGGTTTATATCGATGTTATCAATGGAGCTAGACATGTCTAAGTCCACCGGGCTGACTTTGGGATAAAGGTCTACTTCGGTATTGATTGCACTCATTTTTAAATGTTACTTTTAAACACTAACAAATGACAACTAATACGAACTACCACAAATCACTATATACACAAGCGGCGTGCTCCGATAACAGCTGACTATGGGACAACACTGAAGGAAAAAGAAAGTTCCTGTATAGGATCAAAACCCCCCCCCCCCACGACCACCCTCCATCAGTGATAAGCCATATCACTCAACCTACCTATCCTAGAAAGAACACGCATTCTTAGCAAGGTTGCTATGAGCCCTTTGAAAATTCTTTAACCTGTAAATAATGTAATAGAGTAGAGTCCTTATAAATCAAATTTCAGTGTTGTTTTCCGTGCTGCAGTCAGATGAAGGTGTATGCGTAGTTGTACAGACTACAGCTGTTTCGTAATCATGTGTACAACAGCTGGTCTAGGTAAAAACAACTTGGGAGTTTATTATATCTGTGAATTTTCCATAAGGGAAGAAGCTAAAATATTAATACAGATAGCCATATGGATCATAAACATAAACAAATGCCAAAACTGGACCGAATCCTATAGTTCAAAAGATTTAAGCTGTTTAAGGGGAAGGTTCCCTTAGTCCCCCCACCACTTTTTTAGCTTAATGTATACATCCAGCTGATCGGCTGTTCTTTCAATGTTATGGAGAAGTGGAGTGGGTAGAATCACTTTCCCTAAAACCACCTAACTACCTATAGTGAACAGAGTATAATATTGTAATATTTTAGATTTTTTACCTGAGGGCGGCATCAGATTTCAGATCCCGAAACGTGGTGAAATCTTAGAATTTTACTTACCGAGATGGAAAATCTCGTCAGTAATTTTATAAAAACCTAATTCATGTTTGTAATTCACAATTGGTGTGTTATTTTACACGAATTGGGTTAGTTCCTGATAGCGAATAATGCAGCTTCTTGAAATCGTAAAATTCACTGAAACGTGTAATTAGTACTACAATCTTATTAGCTTGAGGCAAAGACAATATACCATTACTTTGTCTATGCTTGAGGTGAAAAATGTTTTCTATTGCAGAGAAACTTCTCTTTGCCTGAAAATACTTTACTTTTAATACTTTTCAATGAAAGACCCCTCTATTAGATTTGTTTCCTTTACAGGATCTAGAGCAAGCTTTGTTTATGTTTAGAAATACCTGGTCACTGCTTCATCACATTTTTAAGCATCAACTTTATAATCAACGGTTACAGTGAGTGGGATTCTATGTTTCTATGCTATAAGGTTACACTTTTTTATGATTACCTAATTATCTGAACTGCACGAAACGTAGATTCTTTTCTATCTCAAAGCGTTTGAAATGTTGAACTACCCAAAATATACTGATTTCCCTTTTCTCTATATTTTGTAATCTACCTACATGGTCAAAATACTTATAATTTTGTAGGCCTACTATCGGCTGCAAAAAGCGAGCCTCTACCTTTTGCCTTGTTCTAAGAACTTTTTGTTCTGATGATGGAAAAATAACATGTTCTCACAGGTTGGTTATAATTGACTGTAATCACTGGGAAGTCTATAAATAGACAACAACAGTTGCACACATTACGTAAAGCTAGGTAGAATTACAATAGTTTCCGAGGTCAGTTTGCAGCCATATGACCATGTTTAATATGTTTAATATCACCAATGCGTGTTAACGTCACACAAGCCGGCATATTGTCTTGATAATAACATTAAATAACAAACATGAACATTGCGTAGACGCTCCATGATGAATTAATGCAACAGCTGTTTCAATAGGCCGGGATTGCGTTGCCACTTGTATCTTGCCACGGCCTTGTAGAATGCTAAAGAATAGACGGATCTAACTTTTATTGGCTTTCTGATACTGCGTCTAGTCATAGATAAAAAGAATTAAATATAGACCGTCAGCCATGCAGTGGTTGCCATAGGTTCTGGCGCACACCGCTGGGAGCACCGTGTATTTACGTAGGGCGTATGCCGTAACAACATGGCGCTCCCAGCGGTGTGCGCCAGAACCTATGGTAACCGCAGCACGGCTGATGGTCTGTATTTAATTCTTTTTATCTATGGTCTAGTGCACAACTACAGTCAACAAAGCTTCATGGATCATCCCACACTTTACATCCATTTCACTCATATTTTGGTTAAAATACGCACCTATGTGGCGTCCCATTTTAACGATTGATAATTTTATCGTCGATACTGATCAAAGAAAAGTATGGATTAATATTCTTGTCTGTACAACTTGAGCAGTTTAAAGCTACGCAAAATTTATTAAGTTCTATTTTGCACCTAAGCTAATTTGTAAGTACTGGTTAAACAAGTAATTAAACCTGTGTACACATGTGTTGCTTGCAAACTAGATTAGCCACGAGCAAACCTAACAAATCAAGTTAAAGTGGAAGTAATTTTAAAATCTCTCTTCAATCGGAGATTTCTTAGTTTTATTTTCATAACTCATAGTACAAGTATATAAAACATTGTTGAGTTTCATTACCACCATGAGCGTAATTCCTACATGGGAAGGGGTGTTTTTCTACATTTCCCGGATTATTTATTTTTTTTACAAATTATAACCAAGGGAACTATTAAACCGGAATCATTAATTTTCATTGGAGGGAAAATCGTTTAGGGATTTTCAGTGATTGGTAAAATGTGATAATTGTGCATGTGAATTGGTTTTTGACGGAAAAGTGAAATTGAGAAAACTCTTGTTAAAAAAAAAAGATTCCTGCATTATGCACTACCAATATGTACTCAATTTTGTATCTTTTGTGGCACATTACGATCCAGTAACATAAATTTCTCCATAGTCCCACGCGTATACATTACAGATTTGATAACTCATTTCTAATTAACTTCAACTATAATTTTACTCTCTGTAAGACCCAAAAATATACATTCCTCCATACATACCCTGTATTGTGTGCTTTCACGGATACGTTGACAAAGCCTCTTATGAGAATATAGGGACAAAGTAACAACAATACCTATAACCACCTTCTAATTGAGTCTAATGTACATAGATGGTTCAGATTATAATATGCTATAATAGTCCGTAAAACGAGCCTCTTACGAACAAAAGTTCCTCCTCCATACATCGATAACGAATATGTTGACGCAGTATATTTTGTGACAATAGGTCCAAAGTAACAACAATACATTCATAATTCCTTTTATTTTATGCTACACTACGAATATGATGTCCACTTATGTCTTAGTCCTATACCTAAATATTTACCGGAAGAGCTAGGCCCAAAGTAACATAAATCCAACGATAGCCAACTCTATTGTTTGTCACACCTCAGATACTGCATGTTGACGCAGATATTTTGTGACAATAAGGTCCAAAGTAACAACCTTCATAATTTCCCTATATTTTAGACTACCCTCAAAAAAATATGATGTTCAGTTATGGCTTAGCCCAATACCTAAATAATTACCGGAGGAGCTAGGCCCGAAGTAACATCAATCCCACGATATCCGACTCTATATTGTTTACCACGTCTCAGATCTGTTGAATCAGCTGTTCTTTCACCTTGCACGGATTCGATTATTCTTTCGCAACATAACCTGAAAGCCGCTTCGCATAAATAAAGATTGAAGAAGATTAGCCACGCACACTATTACTACATCTTTTGTTTGTCTATAAAATTACACTTTTCACGTTACTCCGACGATAATTATTATGTTATCCAGAATCAATATTGTAGTGTGTAAAGTTTATCGTTACTAATAAACATATGTTAAACAATAGTTCGAGAATATAATAATTAATTCGTACTAAACGTGGTTATTAGTTAAAATGTCCGCTGAATAAACCATTAATTAATTATTTATTCGCACAAACCCAACAATTAGTGGGCATCATTTCAGTTAGTTGTATAAGTTTCATTACACTTTATCACAAATCTGTTAACATTCTCACTAAGATCAAATCGTATCACTGATAAGCGTAGCTATTAGGGATTGGTAGTTTTTCGTCACGAATCGTCTGAGATAGGAATGGAAACCTTTCTCACGCTTCTACTATGTTAACGAGAGTTAAGTTGTTCAAACAGTTAGCTAGAGAAAACACGTACAGAATTGTTATTATTGTTCTACTTTAAAAAAATTACCTGTCAATTCAAAACTCGAAAACAGTATAAAATCTTCAAGACTTAACAATCAACTAGAGAATTTTACGATACTATCTGGTTTCCAAGGTTAGAAGTTTTCCCTTTCACAAAATCACTTCTGGAGTACCACAAGGGTGTGTTTTAGGTCCGGTGTTTTTACCTTGACGTGTTGATCCCATCCTGTCTGCCGTGTCACTTCCCCCACTTCTCCGTCGTGTTCTCCATTTGGCACAAGTCTGTAGGCGACATACTCCCGCGACATCTGTCGGATAACTGAGCAACGAGTAACTGAGAAGTCGAACTCTCACTGACTTTCACCTTCGTCAGGGTCGCGGACGGGACGACTGGACGAAAGGGCAAGTGAAGACGCTGCAAGGAGTGCCGTGCTGTGACTGCGAAACGTTGGATTTTTGCATCACTTGCAAAAACTGTTTGTCAATGTGTAAAATTTAATTGCTGTGACAAAAGATGCATGTAATTGAATACTATGATTAGATGCTGGTTATGTGATTTTTGAAGACAAGAGGAGTCCGCTCTCCGCGTTCCTCTCTCCGCGCTCCGCGTCCGCGCCTAGAAAAACCCGGCTTAAAGAAAATTATGCGAACCTCAACGCTGTAAAATTACAGTTTGGAAGTTATTTAATTTTTTTGTCATTCCACCCATGTTGTTGTTACTCCCATCTCTCGCCCATTAGTGGTGTTGTTTAGAGGGAGAAACTATGTGTCAGGTTGTTGTACCGTTTATTTTTGTTGGCAACTGTTTATTCGCTTTCTTACAGAATTAACAAACGTATTTACATCAAGAGTAAACGTATACAAAGGTATTAGTTATTGATCCTACAACCATAGACTAACCAACACGTATGCTACAACTTAAATATCCCCACCGCACGAAACCTACAATTTGCCTGATTGGATTTACACTTTGTCTCCTTAATAATTTCACATTTATTCCCTATTTAATTATAATTAGTTTAACAAGTGCTTACTTGGGTTTGTTGCACAAGGGAGGGTAAAAGTGTGTTTTTTTTGTTTTTTTTATGATAATAGTTTAGTAATAAATAAATGCATTTTCCAAATTTGATCAAAATGTGTTCATAAACAAGCAAACTACAACAGTTTACTTGTTCTTCATTAGAATGACATGAATATTTTTAATTTACCATATTTTGGAATTTTTTCCGTAACTATTAGGCGCATAATAACGATTCAATAGACTAAATTATTTGTTTTTTAAGCTCCATAAAATGGTTTGGAAAGAAATTGCTAAATATAGCCTAATGTTTTTTGGGTCAAAAATGGGAACAACCAATCTGATCATGCTGGTTCCCGAACTCCTTCGAATAATTGTAGGTTTACAAGTTTAACCAAATTTCATCAAAATCGGATCATTTTTGCTCGAGTTATCGTTCTAACGGACACATATATAAATAAATAATATATACTATATGAATTTGAACGGATGGTGTTTTTGCCTTCTAGGGACCTCAAAAGGAAAAAGTAAATCGGTCCCGGGTGCAGGTCTTACCATGAGTACTACGGTAATAGCTTATTCCCTATGGGAAATTCAATAAAAGGCCACAGCCACATCTCCTAAAATTATTTGATGCTAAATTAAAATAGGTCTCTTCTCTCATATAAAACTACAATTAAAAATTTTACTGACCGGTAACTTGTGTGAAATGTATAAACACCAAGGGTATTATTATACCAGTATTATACTACAACGACAACGTGACAACAATCTTGAGTGGATGAAACAAACCACTGACATTCTGGAACAAATATTTATCAAGAGATTATGGGAAATATCAGAATCATAATCCATTCTCAATTGACAATTTGAAGATGAAGGGATTCGATTGTCTTGGTATAGTTTACTAGTCCGATCACTTTTTAATGGTTGATTATCCATGAATGTTATCTTGTTAGCTGAGTGGTTAGTGGACAACTAAAATGAGGCTTTTAAATTGAGTGTCACAAAGTAAACTTTTTGTAATACAGGGTTATTAAACAAGAATTGTCCAAAACTAAACGGTTGGCACTCCTGTTTCGATTATTTCAAACAATAGATTTCCGTTACAACTTTGGAAAGGGCGTGGTATATTATGACAATGTTATGTTTTGTCTCAGTTTCATAGTTGAGTAACGAAGCCCGCGAAGCCTATCAACAAAGTAGACTACAATACAAATACAAACTTAACTTTGTTTTGTTTCTCTCCATAGCGTCTGGCAAAGTCTGAGCACGGCCCGATCCGATTACTTCGCGGCACAAAACAATGTCTCACTCATATTTAAATTTTTTTATGTCTCACTCACTCACGTGTAAAGTAGAACATTGGATAGTTAAAAATGACTTTAGGCCTACAATCTTTTACGAATTTCTAGTCTTTTGTTTGGAGTATATAATTACATATGTCACAAATGAATTTATTTTCATCCTCTTTACATCCGGCAGACGCTTCATGTGCCCATTTGTGCCAACCTGAACACCTTATCCTCCACCCTTCATTTTGTTTAGATTTTGAGTACAAGTTCTCGCACAGAACATTGAGGTCTCATGGGTAAAAATACTCAGACCACCTTTTCGGCAAGGAAAAAAAACATAGCATAAACATAACCTATCTATCAATCTATCTCTTTCAGTCTTCCGAATGACCTAAAAAAAGAGCTTGTTTGTTTGTTTAGTTTAAGTTTATCCTACTATCCTATTTCAGGTTCTTCAAACTTTATGTTAATCGTGATAACTTACCAATGCATAGGCTAGTCTAAAATGTTTTCAAAATATTTCTCGATAACATAATATGTGTTTTAATACTTGTTCTTTTCATCATGACTACTCAATTGAACAATCCAACAATCATTTGTGTTTTGTTTATTAATATTTTAGGTTATGTCACAAGTTAACCATAACCATCTAATTACTCAGATAACTCGTTTTAAATTAGATTTACAATGAGTCTTCAGGTATGTTTCATAACTAATGATCTATAGCTAATTTATTGGCAAAACTTTGATATCCGACTCAGTCCGTATCATGTTTGCAGTCAATTGAGAATATGTTAAGGCTAACTTAATTTTGGTTTATATTTTTATTATGTTGATTGGTTTTGTTTAGGTAATTATCAGGGTACCCAGCCTATTGTTTGAGTTACAAAACGTAATGGATAATTTTATTTTTCGATAAACCGATTAAGTGGAAATATCAAAGTTTTGCCTAAACTTAGGCTACCTATTTATTATTTTATCGAATGTGGTTTTAGCTAAGGTCTCAAACCCAATTGACTCAGTACTCTGTTCCGAATTTCCCAATGGAGACCAGACTTATTAGGCCTAACTTACTGTAATTTTAATTTTAGGGAGGACCCCCAGAAGCAAAAACCTTTCAAATTTAAATCCATCCATGGCACCTAGTAAATCATTCAAGCCTAGCCTAGATAACTTAAATAAATTTGTTAAAACAATTCATTTATTTAATGAAATTTGCATGAAAAGCGCAACACAAAATGTTAGTTAAATTTGAATGTGTTTCTAGACATGTTTATTTGTATTGATGCCTGATACGGCCAATGTAAGAATAGCCAGGAGTAAAGGGCACTGTATTTAATGTATAAAAAATGTTTTTTTGCTCCCATTTTTGTCATTTGATCTGAATTTCAATGTTAGAGCGATTTTATTAAGAGGCAATTTAGCCTACTACAAAACTAACCCCGCTCAACAATTTGTGTAACTTACACTGGTCCCACTGAGGATAAAATTTGTCACTACTCTGTTGCTGTCACTCTAACAACAAAGTCTGAATCCTAACTCTCTAGAAAGTTACTTCACCAAATAACTTACTCTCAATAATCTTAAGCCTATTCTACTCCATAAAAATTTCCCTGTTGTACCGTAGGCTACCGGTAGCCTACATACTGTATGTTTAATTAGAAAATCAAGAAAGTCTTACAAAATATTTCAGATTCAGGTTCGGGAAAACTCTTGTACCGTGTAGTAAGTCAGGATTTAATAATAGGTCTATTTAATTTAGCAAATGGTTATTTGAAAAAAGTCAGTTTTGCTATGTGGTTTACATTAAGTTAAAGAATATAAATAAGTTAAAGTTAAAGATATCTTTAGTAAATACTAGTAAGTAGCCTATATAACAGAAGAACTTCTCGTACTGGCACAGCTGTTTACAATAGACCTAACTACAGTACCACCATTTGTAATAGTTTTAAAACAATGCTGAACCTTGTTTATTGCAGGTTGAGGGGACCAATGACTCCAGCTGCCTGTCAAAATTCTCGGCCACACAAAGAGGCTATTTTAGTGATGAGTTTTTGCAGCATTTTGTGAGCAAATGTCCTAGAAGAGCACCCCTGATTCATCTGGGGTATTCTGTAAGAGCAGCAATCATAAACTCATTGATAGAAGAATACGTGGAATCTGAAAGCTCTCCTAAGCAAGTACGACATAGCAGTTTTAGCATTGCTAACTCATAACTTATTATAGTCTAGTTTGAATTAAGCTCAGACAAAATCATAAAAAAGATGTAGCTACTTAATCAAATAAACCCTGTGACTACCCTGTCAAATAAGGAAGGCTTGAAGGAATTTATTTATATAATAATCCCATGAAGTTTTTTTCTACATTTGATAATCATTTTCCATAGCCTATCCATAAAAAAATTTTATATAAAAGTACGGTATATGGTCATATTTACGTATTCACCCCATTTATTTTCAAAAATGGGGTAGTTATGCCCACATTTAATATGAACTGAAAATCAATTATTTGTACTTTCCTTTTACAAGAAAGTAATTGGAAATGATTAAAAAAACATGCCAAGAACATAAAAAAATAAGCCTTCTGTTACTTACTCCTTACAGGACCTGCAGGAAGCTGTAGGTAATTTGCTTAAAGAGAGGAAACTGAGCCAGCGTATAGCTGCAGCAAAATATGGGATCACGAAATCAGTAATACAGCTGCATATTAGTGGAAAAGTGAGTTCAGAGAATCAAGGAGCTGGAAGCCCAACAACTTTTTCAATTACATGAGAAAATTAACTTGGGAAAATTACAGCCTATAAAGTCTGACATGTTTATAAGATTTTCCATTTTTCTACTTATATAGCCTACACTGATTAACTATAAACCCGATTATGTTTGTTTTTGACCAGGATGGGGTGATTATGACCACCACCAAAAGTTGACGTTTAGTAAAAAAATCTTGATTGTTCAAATATGAGCATTATTGGTCATAATTGCCCCAATCAATACTTATTCTTATATAAGCTAAATTAAAAGTCTTCCAGTAAGAAAGTCATGTATAGATTTGTAATACACTACTAAAAGCTAGGCTATTCAAATATTTCATTATTTTCAGATTATCTCCTTTGGTGCCGGTTTTGATACGTTATATTTCAAACTGAAGAAGAAATATCGAAACAGAGATGTCAGATATTATGAGTTTGATCTTCCAAGAGTTGTTGAGCGGAAAATCAAATGTATCAAAGGATCGGACAAACTTAGCAGTATTATCAAGGAATTCACAGGTAAAAAAACATTTCAAAATAATAAATAGTTTTGTTAAGGTCTTGAATTGTGATACCATACAAAGCAAAAAAGAAAAAGAAATTGTGAGTGTCGCCTCAGAAAATGATTTCATGTTTCAAGTAATGGAAGTAACGTAGGTATTAAGTTCTATAGTAGAACCACCAGCTATCCAAACTGCAACTTCCCAAATCACTTATAGAAGAACTTTTAAAAACCTAAAACTACAGAAATAAAAATAGTTAGTAAAGAAGACAGAAGCTGTTATCGCGGCAAAATCCTGAATTTCTTGCACAGCCTTATAGACATCGTCATCTTCTGTGATCGCAACAAAATCTTGAACATCGCAGCGTTCTTGTAGAGATCACCATCGTCTTTCGCAGTCACAGAAAATCAACATCCTCATCAATCATCAGGAAACCGTGAATTTTTCAATTGCAAAAACATTACAGATGCATTCTACATTTGGGATGTTGAGTCAGCTTGGCTCAACTAAACCTTATTTCTATAAATACCCAAAATTTCAGTAAATACCCGAGTATTTAAACTTTGATATCCATGGTATCCACAGTAATGTATTTGGTATCCATGTTTTGGATATCCAATTGTTTGTAGGCAACACTTTGTATAAATTGAAGGGTGCTGGTATAAGAAAAACAATGCAGAACAATTGAACTGTGAATAGTGTTAGTATGTTAATACTTTAATACTTTTCAATGAAATGGGGACTATACAGAGTAGGTATTTTAAGCCAAAAAGAGATTACATCCTTTGATCATCCGAACAAGGTACGGACCCAATTGATTTTGATGATTGGAGTTCTACTGCACTTATTATTTCATAGAATATTGCTGTGTTTTACAAATTCTGCTCTATCATCATGTTTTGGATATCCGTGAAATGTTGCACACTTTAAATTAAGTTAATTAAAGGGTGCTGGTATAAGGATTACAATGCAGAACCTATTAGTGAATAGTGTTAGTATGTTAAGAAATTAAATCCTTTGAGAATAAAGCAAACAAATGTGATGAAATGTACACTAGAGTAGCCTACCGACCTCAATTATGAGTTAAAATAGAAGCCAAGTAAAAAAAATTGTTATAAGTTTGAAAAGTATGTGATCTTTTGCAGTGAACGCTGATGGTTTATCCAGTAAGGATTACAAGCTGCTGGCTGTAGACTTGCGGGTTGTGGAAGCGTTGTCAGACATGCTTCAAAAGTACAGTTTTGACCCTGAGGTTCCCACATTGTTTCTCTCTGAGTGTGCCATCACATATTTGGAAGAAGAAAAGTAAGTTTTTTGTAGGTCTTCATGTTTTGTCTTGGTCAGTAACACCTTCTAGAATACTTTAGAAGAAAATCTTTCACGGTTAAGCTGTGTTTACATGAGCAGTAAGAATGTCATCTTTAGGGCTTAGTTAAGGAGCTGTAACATTTATATTTATTTACTAAAACCAATCACTTATTTCACGTCAGAATATCATCCTGAATAAAACGGTTTCAATTTGACTACTGTTGTTTGATAAATAGCAGATTTGCCAACACAATTGTAAAATGATGCTGCATAGTAGTACCTCTTCACAGTTCTTCTTTCGTCATCAGTCGTGTTATTCCTTGCATTCTTTTCACATGTCCAAACCATTTCGTCTTACTTCCTCTACTTTAATTTTTAAACTGATTTCAATCAATTCTCTCCTCTTCATAACACCTAACCTTATACATACCATTGACTTTTGGATGAGCCTACTGAAGTAGATATACCATGGACCAGCTGCTCAAAATTTGTTTATTAAAAAACCTAATTAGCTGTGAGCCCGTTAAAGATTGTCCTAGCGTCTAAATAGTTATTTGTGTAACTAGTGTGCGAAGTAGCACTTTGCTGCACATGAGAGAAATGTTTACGCACGAGTCGCAAGCGAGTGTGGAAAGTTTCTTGAGTGCAGCAACGTCACTTTGCACTCGCGTTACACATTATGTTTTTCTTTTATTACTATATTTTTTTCTTTCAAACACTATACAAGACGTTTTTAGGTTAGGATAAATCCAAGCGTTGAACAAAATACGCTGCACCAGCTGATCGTAGTCGTAGTATCTTTAATTGTTGCCAACTTATTTCCTAGCTTACACGTTTTACATGCCTAATAAAAGCACATTGTTTTGTGTTGTTTGGTTGGAATACTGTAGTGCAGCAAAAGTAAGTAAATGCAGCAATTAACTACTTTGTGTGCTATAATCAGCGCTAGGCCACTCTGTCAGGTTACTGTAGGAAACCTCTATTATCTACCTTGACTTGACTGAGATAGTTGACCTGACATAAAAGATGCTACATCTTACAACAAGTTGTCAGTTGTCCAAGTTTACCTTGGTTTTAAAGCCTGAATATTTGACAGAAATCCGTAGTTTACATCAGCGCAATCTGTCATTGCCTCACTTAAATTACTTTTCTATTACACATCAATTAACTGGTGACAATCTTAAAATGTAACGGAATGTCTGGAAGCTCTCTTAAGTTATTGTAAAATCGAAACGTCTCTCCTAGGTCGACAGATCTGATCAGGTTTGCTAGCAGCCTGAAGAATGCAACGTTTATCACCTACGAGCAGCTCCACCCTGACGATGGATTTGGCCGAGTCATGTTACGCCACTTTACCTCACTCCAGAGTCCACTCATGTCGGTGGAGCAGTACCCCACCCTAGAGCTGCAGACAGAACGGTACACTAGGAATGTCAGTGGCTCAACACTTCCTTAGGGTATCTTAGTTTGAAGACTAAAAATGGTCTCATGAATTCATCCGTTTTTCAATGGTTTTTTTTTATTTTAAGTCCCACTTTTACATTCTAGTATGCTCATGAAATTAAAATTTGTTGACATGATCTCAATCATGACTTAAGTGCTGAGCTGAAAACAGACAAACTCGAGCCTTTTCTAATACTAACCTCTTAGAATTTCAGGCTAGCATAGCTCAACCATCAACTTTTATTGTCTACCAATCTTCAAGAATCAATGTTTTATTCCAGTAGACACATACATGCATATGCGAGAGCCTACAGTATTATACTTTTTATTTTACACTGAGTTGGCTAAATATTTTAATTTTTCTTAGAACTGGGACCACTGTACCTGCCTGACTGCATTGGAGGCCTACAAGAGTTTAATACCTGAACGGGAACGATCAGGAGTTCTATCTTTAGAACCGTTCGACGAGTGGGAAGAATTTTACCTCAAGTGTATGCATTATACTATTGTGATTGCTTCAAAAGGATCTCTTTCCAACTGGTCTAAGATCTGCAGTAAAATATCCTTAAACAGAGGTAATATAGACGATTGTATTTAACTATAATATATAATATTGTTTGTTTAAAGCGTGGCTCAAGGCTAGGATTGTGATTTTAATAGTATATTTCATACCTAGGGCCAAAGTCGAGAACTTAAAACGATCAAGAGCTGCGAAACCATTTCAGTCTGCAGTACGAACGCTATTTTTCACCACTTTATAACCTATTACCACTATTCACCACAATAATAATGCACACTGATAGTCAACACAACTACAACTTTAAGGTTATGTGAAGAAATAAATTGAGGAATCGACAAAAATAATAATAAATAGTTGCTAGGCAACGTTGACAATAAAACAAACAATTCTTTTGCAGTGCTATGGATACTGATTGTGTATTTAATACGCATTAATGTTTTAAGAAAGTTATAAGCGGACAGCTGATTTTGCGGCCCTAGGGATGTAAAAACCTGCTCGGTCCCCAAATGACGATGACGGCTGACATGGCCAGCAAAACGTAACTTTCAGCCACCAATTAACGTATGTATAACAGCTAAAAACATCACAGTGTGGTGAAAAAATAATAGCACCTAGAGACATAGACAATACAGAGGTGTAGATAAAGATGGAAACAATAGTTGTCCTGAGCTTGTAAAAAGACATCGCAACTGACTGTAATTTTGTGCATTGAAAATAAGATTTGTTCATGACTTTTTCGTGAAGCAAGATCTTAACTACAAGTAGGAGGGCCTAGAGACACAATTTAACTCTGGCCTTTCTGGCTGAGGTCACCACATAAAGACCCCGTCGCAGGAAACCTACCAACAGCAAATTCCCATTTGCCCGATTGGATTTTTACTAAACTACTTTCTTAAAATTGTCCGATTTATTCTGTGACGTACTTTTCCACACTGAAACATATAACACTAGGTTACATGCCAGGTTTAAGTACCACGTGCTATACAGCACATTTAGTTTCCGGATAGGCCTCAGTACGGAGATTTGGGTTGGCCTTCCAGGGTTCGCGACAAGATGTTACTTTCACGCTCAGCCGTGCTGTCGCCTTGGCTGAGGTTTACCACGTCGGAGATCTCGAGCATCTGGTTCATCACACAGATGTCGCCGTAGTCCGGATTAATCCTCACGGACCGGTCACTGCCCCTTCCACCGCAGTGAGACGTGGTGGCCTTCCATGGAAGCTAGTCGCCACCCCCGAAATCGTCTTCGTGTTCAGCACACGACATCCAGCCAGGCACTTGGGTTCTGCACACCAAGTATGGGTTGACTCCGTCTGCCGTTGTAGCCTGGGGTCCACGGTCGCCCTCCTGTCGTCACAGCCACAGGCTGAGGCACATTCCGCCCCCCACTCGTCGTAGTAGGCTGGGGCTCATCCGGCCTCACCTGGCCGTCGTTGCAGGCTGGGTCTGTTGTGACCACCGTCGATGCTGCTGCAAAGTCGAGTCATACTTCCCATTCGTCGCCGCTGTCGTCTGGGCATCTGGTTTCTCACACAGATCCCTGTCGGTGCTGTCGTCTGGGAATCCGGCTCATCGCACGGACCCCTGTCTCTGCCGTCGTATATGTATCCTGCTCGTTGCAGGAATACCGTAGTTGCCGTAGTTTGTTCGGGCGCCATAATTGTGATGTACTACGTGGGGCATTGGTCCCCTGCCCGTTGCTCGTGCTTGTCGTCGTATGGGAATCCGGCTCATCGCACGGACCCCTGTCGTTGTCGTCGTCGTATGAGTGTCCTGCTCGTTGCAGGGACACTTCGTCGATGTTGTCGTATCGTGGGGATCCGGCTCATCGCACGGACCCCTGTCGTTGTCGTCGTCATATGGGAATCCGGCTCACCGCACGGACCCCTGTCACTGCCCCTTCCACCGCAGTGAAACGTGATGACCTTCCATTGTCGTTAGTCGTCATCCCCGAATCGTCTACATGTCCACATGTAGCCTCAGGAGAATCTGGTTCAACACACAGATCCCAGCGTCGTAGCGGTACCTGGGGAGCTCCACCTGCCGCTGTAGTCGGGGTTCGGATCACCCACCTAACGTCGCAGCTACTACGCCTTCACTGCAGGCTGGGCGTCCATCGTGGCCCCAATCGAGACTACAGCCGGTAGTCCTCGTCCCCGTCGGTCTCCGCCGCTGTCCTGGGTGTCTGTCTGGTTCTGCACACAGACTCGTGATGTCGCGGTACCTTTAGCTTAGCCGACTCAGCCCGCCACTGTAGCATAGGGTTCGAGCTCACCCGTCGACCACGGCTACAGGCTGAGGTGCGTTCCACCCCCCCCCCACTCGTCGTCGTAGGCTGGGGCTCAGCCATCCTCACCTGGTCTTTGCCGCGACCTGGGTTTTCCAGCCCGCGCGCCCTATATCGGTACTACAGCCGGGGAGCCTACTCGTACGTATTCGTCGCTGACGTCCTGAGTGTCCGGTTTCTCACACGGACATGTGCCACTGCCCCGTCCGCCGCAGTGAGCTGCGTGGTGGCCGTCCGTTCGTAGTTGTCGTTTGCCACCCCCGATGCGAGCTACTTGCACCTTTCGCATGTAGTCCTCGGGGATCCGGTTTATCACACGGTCCCGTGTCACTGCCCCGTCCGCCGCAGTGAGTCCCGTGATGGCCGTCCGTTCATCGTTGTTGAGTGCCACCCCCGATGTGAGCTTCTTCTTGGGTTTACACCACGCCAAGATCCACCACAACGGTTCAACACTCGTTGGGTACACGTTGACCAAGCCCCGGTTGTCTCGCTGACCGTTGTTCTCCGTTGCAATGGTTGGTTTATCACGCAACCACTGCCGCTGGATAATCAATCGAAGAACACCGAAGCTGGCCAACAGCGTGATGTGAGTTCCTCTGGTTGGTTTATCACACAAAAGTCGCCGTTCGAGAATCGTAGTAAGCTAGCTGACATCTCTACGTCAATCTTCTGTCCGCTAACAAGTCGCTGGTTCCGGTGTCGTGAGTTGGTCATCACTCCAGGTAGGTTTAACACGCTACCGCAGCTGCTGAAGTGTCGTTGAGTACCATGGTCGTCACCAAAGGTAGGTTCAACACGCTACCACAGCTGCCGAAGACACGCTGAGTCCACGCCGACTCGCCAGTCCCAGACCATAGGCCAACGTTATCCAATTCGCACCAAAACAATCTCATCACCTGTCGAAAACTCATAACACAAAATATTAAAACACAGATAAATCGTTAATCATGAAATAATATTCAAAGGGTTAGTCACGGATTATCTCACATGACACTAACCAAACATCGTTAAATAATCAGAGATTAAATTACCAGACAGAATGGATGTAAAAATGCCTTGTTACTTAAAACGAAAATTAAAACAAGTAACCAAGGCCGAAACGAACTATCCATCCACTTCTGGTTCACATCAATCTCAAAGGCTTTATGGCAAACACGTTGTTAAAACCATAAAACATCGTTAACAGGCCTAAGGCCACTACTACCAACACGCCATGCGTGCCGGCCGGGACGTGCTCAACTAGCACAACTAATCTTAGTAGTCACTGACTACTACTAATAAATTCGTATGATGAGATTAAATTGTTTTGGGCTTACTAAAAATGGATTAAAAACACACTGGCCTCGTAATATTTAATCGTTACGTTATGGGTTTAACACACCATCGTAATCAAATCAACTTTGCCTAAGTCCATTGGTTTAACAGGAGTGAAAATATAAAATCTAGTAAAACTGATTTTAAAAACTAGTATTTTACACCCTGGCAATAGTTAACTCGGTTTACCTTATATCTAATGGAATATAAGACTTACAAGTTTACTAGAAGTATCACGCGAGCTAACTAATGCTTCACCAATAATGATATCGGGACTTGAAGACCTGTCGAACTAGTCGTCGTGGTTGCTGGTGAGGAACTAACTTTCCTGCTTGCCGTCTGAGGGTTCCTCGGTTCATCCCTCTCGCTCCCCTCTCTAGCAAAGTAGGGGGCTCAGCTGATCCGGAACGTTTGCTTGCTGTTTGCTAACCCGAAAAAAAGCTAGCCGGCCGCCGTCGTCTGCAGCCGCTAAATCGTCAGTCGCTCGAGCTCGTTGTTGTTGTTGACTGTAGGTTATGTTGTGTTTGTTTCACACGACAATGAGTTTTAACTTCAAGTTGTCGGTTTATATTACTCACACCGCATTTCCTCACGTCTTTGAGACGGATTATTGGCCTAAGGCCATGATCCGCGGGTTTACTAAGTGTAGAAAGTTTCTTCGAAGTACCAAGCCGGGTTGAGCCCTAGCTTGCGAAACACATCGCTGGTGAGTCAATAAGCTATAAAACACTGTATAAGGTTTATGTCACGCTCATACAGTATTAATAACTCTCGTTCTACACTTATTTAATACCAAACACAACAGTGTATCATGCCTATACTTTACTGAAGATGTTATAACTAAGGTTAGCCTTCTAACCTATAACCTTAGTTAGGGCTGGTAGGCTATGCCTAGGGATAGGCTAGACCTAGGAGTAGGCTAGTTTGACCCCCCCTCAAAATAGGCACGTTACACTCCCTACCAACTTCGGGTGCAAAAAAAAAAAAAAACAAGCAAAAAAAACGCCTGTTACTCCAGGGTCAGGTTGGCTCATCGCACATCCTGCCCGTTACCTCTGACGGTCTTCTCGTACTCTGGGCCAAGGATGGTTTATCACACACCCTGCCATCTCGTTCGTTCTTACGTCCATCTTATGGTCTAGACCACTCGTCACTTCAGCGACGATTCTTTTAGAGGAATCCTCTCCTCTTCTCGTTCGTTGATACAATTCCCTATTAGAATTTTAGATTAACGAGTACTTGGGTTTGCTGCTACAGAAAATAAAAGTGTTTTTTGATCAAATGTTAATAGTACAGTATGAAGAAATAAATCTGAAAAATTTTACAAAAATATGTTAACAAACAAGCAAACAACAACTTTTTACTTCTTCTCTATAAGAATAACATGGAAATTGTAAATGTAAAGTTTTTTGGAATTTTTTTATCCTACAAAAGTGCAAAGTTTTTTTTTCTTTGCTCTACTTGATGGTTTTAATGAAGAGAATACTTTTATGTTTTAAAGATAAAAAAACAATCATTGAAACATTTTAAAACTCCCATCACACCTGTTCCCATGACCGTTCTTGCTGGTTTGAAAACTCATTCAAGTGGATCCAGCCCTACAAGTTCATGCCAAATTTCATCAAATTCAGACCTAAATTACACTAGTTATTGCGTTTGTTTACAGACATATAAATCTATACATACACTAAAAATTAAGGTACATACCTTCACGTCCACAGTTCAAATATGTATGGTTAACGTGGTGTTTAACCATACATATTTGAACTGTGGACGTGAAGGTATGTACCTTAATTTTTAGTCTATTCAACAGTTCAGGGGCTACACAATGAATTTCTATACATACAGTATGAAAAATTTCAACAAATAGTGTTTTTGGCCTCTGGGGACATCAATATGAAATAGTAAATCTGTCCAGGGTCTAGGTCTTACTGTGCCATACGGTAACAGCTACTTCCCTGTAGAAATTCACTAAAATAGGCCTATTGATTTCATATATTAACAGAATTCCAATTTTTCTTCTGTTTGTTGCAGTAAAACATCAGATGAATAATCTCACCTGGACATTAGTAAAAGCAAAAAGAGCATGTCGATACGGCCATAATCTCGTTAAACTCAACGGCCATTACGTTCTAATTGGAGGGTTTGGCCTGAGGAAAGATGGCACTCACGGAAGGATGAAGGATATAGTTTGGTTGAAACAGGAGGAATCGCAAATGATTGTTTCAAGAGATGTAGAAGTCGCTGAGTTTGCCACAATGTACTCAACCTGGACTTTGTTGTCTAACGGAAGCTTCATTGTGTACGGAGGAAGGACTTCGCCAGCGAATTGTGTGTTTTCGTGTCCTCAGTTAGTGACATTTCAGCCGGACGGAAGTGTGAAGAGCACGCTGCTATTGAACAGCTGTAATCGTCTCGCAAGATGGAGACATTCAGCAGTGGTAGTTGAGAGGGAAGCAGTTGAAACATTCCTCGTGTTCGGTGGAAGGACGAGTGACCTACAGGTTAGGTAAAGTTTTTATATAAAGCTAAATCTTGAGCTATGGCAATAATTTGTAGTTAAAATTGTTCAGACATATTCAGACTGTTATCTGATGTCTTTGGTTCTCTAATAACTTAAGTTATTTTATTTTTTGCTCTGGTGTTCTCATTAATCTAATATTAGAAGATCATATCATAATGGTTTTTATGGCTCTGCTAATTTTGATTTTATTGTACTCCAGCTCTATAGGAGACCATAGTTCAAGATATGCTATATGTATATTTGAATGAGGTAGCAATTTATCAATAAATTTTTTTGAAAAAAAATCACAAACTAACAACTTTAAAAACAAACACCTCATTATTTTATTGAATATTTTTAAATAACTTCTTGATCAGCATTGTACGTGTTAGTGAGTAACAGTATAAGCGTAAATATATGTTTTAAGTGTTATAAGACGTTTCTTTTATTTACTTTCCGTGAATATTTTTAACAAGCAAAAAAATGTTTAAGCTAGAGTTTAGGTTAGGCTATGTTGTTTAGATTGATCTTGTAACAAGCTAATTAAATGAAAACCCTTTTTGAAAGTATTAAATAACCTTACACAAACTACTACATTATGTCTGGGGGAGCGAGCTGGTAGGCCTATAGTGGTTAGAGCGCGGGACTTCGGTCCAAGAGGTCCTGGGTTCATATCCCGCCAAATCACCAATGGATTTTATCTAAGTGATAATGCCGCAACCCCTAGGTCGAGTTTGAAGTAATGTGAAAAACAATTCGGGCACCTAGCGTCCTAGGACAACAAAAATAACATGACATCCAAAAAAACCAGCTACCTTATAGACTTTAGGTTCTCCCTGCTGAAGCGTGCCTAGAATATCACATAAAACATGCTTAGTTAATAGATTAATAAGCTCTTAGTTGAATTTACTTGTGAGGTTTTTTTAGGATATAATGGAAGTTAAGTTATCACTGTAACATTATTTTCAGTTGCTGAATGATACTTGGATGGTGTTACTACATCCAAATGTAGAGGACAGAAAAATCATTGATGTTGATGAATTTTCATCCAAAAAGCCTTGTCCAAGATTTTCCCATACAGCATGTGTAAGGTATTCTAGATATTTTTTGTAGTTGATTAATTAATTTTATTGTATTTTACTTACAATAGCCTACAACAATTTATCCATTGTTATCATCATCAAAGTTTATTAACCTAACCTAACATAACAGCAGAAGTTCTCTTGTTGATTATAATCACATGTAGATGAAAGAGTGCTCAGTATGCTGACATTTGAATTGTGAATTTGAACCAATTTTGGTACATAGTTTTTTGTTATTCTTATCCAGTATAACCTAATCTAGGATACCTAAACTACGAGGACGCTTTTTTGTTGCTAACTGAAAACAATCCTCCAATAATTGGCAACAAAACTGCACAGAGTGCTCGCCTTGGTTCTTGGTAGATTTGTTTCAAAATTCAATATCTTAATTTGTCATTATTACAGTAGGCATTGTCGATACTGATTTTCTTAAGCAAAAATGCACCAAGTGAAGCCACAAAACTTTAAAAATAGAATTAAACTCTAATAGTAATTACAAGAGCTCGCCCCGGTGGTCAAAAACTCAACAAAAATTATGTATTGTGCAAACTTCTCTATTTTCACCCTACGCTGTCACTGTAAATAAACCATGTGATTGGAATTTCTTCCATTTGTTTTGATTTTCTGTTTATATTTTGTGGTTATTTTGTCACCAACATGGCAACCCATAAGGTCCATGTTAATTTAAAAAAAATTTCAAATTCATTTTTTGTGCTTATTTTTGGGCCTATTTTAATTTATAAATTGATTCTGAACATCTAGAGGAAAACATCTTTCATTTGGTACCAACAGCGTGTAATTTCGTCCAGTAGTGGCAGTAGTATGGTCAGGCTAGCTGTCATAAGTTTTGCAAAAGTTTATTAGTAACTTTTATAAGATTAACAATTTACATGAAATGGTCAACAACAAAAACATAAAATGAAGTTGATCCCAAAGAGCTTTGCTCGCTCCGCTCAATAAATCACAGTATTGATCTAAAAACCGAGAGAACTAATATTACAGGCCAGTAAATTGTCCATGGAATAAAACACATTTTCTATTAACCGTTGTTCTAGAACGGAATCAAATTTTTTTATCGACCAGTGCTTAAGGCAGGACCATTTTTTAAAGCCTTTAGTCCAATGATCCTAACGACTGCTGTGTGTCCAGTTTCAAACCATCAAAAAGTTGCTGACCTTTTCCTAGGCATGCCATACTCTATAGGGATACATTCTCTCTTGCTGTATACAGACATTTATACATCTGTTCCACCTTGTAGACACTGTGAGATGTGGGTGTATGGTGGAATGTCTGTCAGAGGTCCGTTATCTGACGCTTGGTGTCTGGATATCAACGCAATGCAGTGGCGACAGCTGGAAGTGACAGGTGGCAACATAGCAAGGTAACATTGAAACATTCAAGTTTACAATATTCAACCAGCTATCTTATTTTGTTTGATTTTTTTACTCAGTTATTACAAGATTTTAAACTCTTTAGTGTTCTCTATAAACCATTAAAACAATCAATATTTATTATGATCAATACAAGTTAGAATTCTTTCAATTTAGATAAATCCAGTAATGGTAATTCACTTAGTTTAGTGATCTATATCAAGAAAGTATACTTCTTCTATAAATTAACATTACTTTAAAATGGAGCACATTTTAATAAGTAGACTTTTTAGTTAGTTATGTAAACTTATTTTAGTTATGTTTTTTTTTTTATTGGTTTATCGATTAAAAGTAAAAATACTTTTTACAAATCATCAAAAATAGTGTCTAACACTGCAGGCAGTTTTAGCTTAATTGGAAGAAATGAGAAATAAATAATTTTGTACCTAAATTCTCTGCGATCGCAAAGAAGTTTCAACCGTGTCACCAAACATTTTGTGCAACAACCATTAAACAAAAACCAACAGTTTCCATCAATCGGTTTTTGGTTTTTCGGTAAAATCTGGCAAAACCAACAACCGACTTGAAAAACCGACCCATCAATTTATACCATTTTACTTCAATTTATTGCAGATATGTATAAAACCGTTGAAGCTAAAATAAAAGTTTAACAATAATTTTAGAGTGGTCAGTTTTTGGCATTTTTGCAGAGTGTAAAACTTAGTCAGCCACTTAAGGTAGCTTGATGTTGAGTTAATTCCAATTCTAGGGCATGTTTTCGTTTTGTTCTCAGGTTCGGTCACTCGGCCAGTGTTCACGATCACTCGCTAGTGTTGGTTGGAGGTGTTAGTTACTGGGACAGTGGTCAACCTCCGGTGTCAGTGTTGGATCTTCACACTGGCGCAATACTTCACTACCAGCTACCGGTAGGATTGAGTACATTGGACAGTAACAAATGTAGACTTTAAGTTTGGTCAGATGAAATTTCCTGCTACTGTTAGTATTAGACAAAGGTGCAGGGATATGTAATGTGCAGGATTCACAGCTGATGGAAGTTTTACAGATCTATGAGAAAATCTTATAGTGCTTAGCTAGAGATCGTCCAGTGGTCAAAAACTCTACCAAAAATATGTAACGTACAGACTTCTCTATTTTCACCCCATGCTGTATAGAACATGTGATTGGAATTTCTTTTTTTTAATTTCTATATTTTGTTGTTATTTTGTCACCAGCATGGCAACCCATAAGACGTATGGTAGTTTTTTAAATTTTAAAATTCATTTTTTGTGCTTATTTTTGAGACTATTTTAATTTATAAAGGGATTCTGCACACAGGAAAATATCTTTCTAACAGTATGTGTAGATTTTCCCTGTGATGCACACGAGCTGAGAAAAAAGGTTTTAAAGAAACATGCTTGCCTATTAATATATAGATTGCTAATGATGATAGGTTTATGATGTTACAGCGGTTATTGCAGGTAAAAATAGAGTTTCGATAATAACTGATCGAAATTTATACAATAATCCTTTAACACTAATACCGAAACCCTACCCAGGCTGACGCTAACCAAAACCCCTGGTCTGTAAGACCCCATTTGAAATTAATGGACCCAGCTTAGAAACACACAAACCAAAACCATGGGCCTGTGAGACCGGGCTTTAAAATACACTAATGCTGGGCTTCAGAGACAGGCATGTTATGAATAGACAACCTGTCAAGGTCACGGCACCCACGCAAATAAACAAACAATATATCAACAGGTAGGGGAGGAAAAGGAGGGAAGGATTGGGGAATGGAATCCCCCAAGTAAACAGTGTTGCCAACTTTCGTCTGTTAAAATTCCTGTGGGCCTAGTCCGGTTGCGAAACCCTATATTTTTGGCTAACCCAAAAATTTTGGATTAAGTTTTTTTTATTAATGGATAATTACTAGGACATGTAAAGCTTCAAGAAAATGCATGATGACATCCTGTCACCTTTGGGCAATTCGAGATTTGGCCGCCATCTTGAATTTTTCCAAATATTTTTGTATTATTTATATATATGAAATATAGGGTTGTTGTATATAATTTTATATGTTTTTATGTACGCTAAGTTCAATGGGAGCACTAAAAAGTATCTAGAAATAGTCATTTCTTAAAAACCACCGCCATCTTGAATTTTTCCAAATGTTTTTGGATTATTTTTTCATTTCTAATATATGGTTGTTGTATATCATTTTATATGTTTTTATGGATGCTGAGTTCAATTGGAGCACTAAAAAGTATCTAGAAAAAGTCGTTTCTTAAAAACCGCCGCCATCTTGAATTCTTTGCTGCTGGCCATACCAATTACACATGTTATGGGCTTTGCTACCTCACTTCCTTAGAAAAACTCCCTCCATCTACTTTGAACCATTTCTGGTGGCAATCACGTCATGCGTCATAATGGCTTATGGACCAGCTAAGACCAGAAACATTGAAAACATGGACATTAAGCTTGCAAACATGCTCACAATAAGAACTGCATCTATTATAGAAAAGTTTAGTGAAGAGAGGAAAGATGGAAAGATGTGATACAAGACACGCACAAAAAAGAAATGCACTCTCAAATCATTTCTGATAGAAAAGACAGAGAAGTGATAAGAAACAACGAACGATGGATCTGCACTTCTATGGTGTGTGCAGTGGTCAGAAAAGGGAATTGTACAGTGACTTGATAAGTTCACTTAAAAAATCCCTAAGCAAACATTTGCAACACGGAAATGTGAACCTGATTTTTTATTGGTACAGGCAATACAGGATCACCAAGGATACAGGAATACCAAGGATCACACCAGATCGGGTAGATCTACAACTAAGGCACGATCTACAAAATTCTCACGAAGAAGCTGATACGAATATTGTACAACAAGCTATTAGCTGCTGATGATGAAGACAAGCAGAACGTTGCTGTATCAGATGACACAGACGTTTTTATTCTCCTCCTTTACTTCTACAATCTTAAAAACATTTACGCCACACTACATTATTTTGACGAACTCCCCACGCAAGGATTCCTTGCGTGGGGAGTTCGTCAAAATAATGTAAAGGATTTAGTCCAGAAAACAGGTGTTTGCCACCAGCTTATTCAAATGGGGTTTCATTGCGTACTACTGTACTGTAATGAGTTTTGCCGGACACCAATCAGCTGATTATAGTATATTTAGGTGGCAATGAATGGTTATAAACAAAAACATATTATGACTAGTGATTTTTAATCTTTTAGTTGGTGAAAATATACCTATTAGGATTTGGACAGATTTAGTAGTATGGCATAAACTATCGTACGTAACTCGTCCAAAATGTGTGTACCGGACTCTTATGGTAATCCCGTACTCGACTTTATCTCGCACGGGAACGACCACACTCGTCCGGTAAACACTTATTTTCAGGACTAGTAACGTAATATACTATTCCACAACTATTCTGATGGAATCACCTGTCCAGGGTCGCTCAAGAATTGACATTGGAGCATCTGTCGTCAACAAACATAAGGAAATAATACCTGATTTGCTAGCAGCTCATGCTATCACTGGATGTGATACCACTGCAATGTGCTATGGAATCGGGAAGATTAAAGCCATTAAGGTTTTGAAAAGTGAACACTCCTTATCAATGGTTGGAGATATACATGCTGATTTTTGTGACATAAAGCTGCAAGCATTGAAGTTTATGTCTGCTTGTTACGGTGTATCTAATTGTAACACAACTTCTGAGGCTCGTGTCAAACTGCGGGCTGACAAAGTCCGAAGTGCAACGACTCAACTGCCAAAACTGTGCACATTACCAACAACAAATTCAGCGTTTGAAGAAAAGCACACCTTCAAACCTGTATTTTGAAGCATTCAAGGGACTCTGACCACCAGAATTAGATCCACTGCTTCACGGTTTTTACAAGGATGAAAACTCAAGATGCCTCCTACCCACAACTATGCCGGAAAATATTTTAGTTGCTCCACCGGAAATTTTGAAGTTGGTTAACTGCTCTTGCAGAAGCGTATTACCATGCAACAGCAATCAGTATAGTTGCAAGAGTGCCAGCCTACCACGCACCATGTTCTGTACATGCTCAAACAGTTCCTGTTCCAATGATTTGACACGTGTTGCTGAATTAGAAGTAGACTGGGAAGAAGACCCTGTTGAAGAACCAGTGGCAGACTAATCTCTGTTAGGACAATGTTTGTTTGTTCTTAGTCATAAATGTTTAATTTTATACCAATATGTAATCAATATCAGAATTTCACCTATTACACTGTTTACTTGAGTTATTCACTTTTTTGTATAATAAAAAGTGGCGTTCTTTAAAAATAATTATTCACAACACCTATATATTACAAAGTTTTTAAATTATTCTTTTTTATATGGTGAGGACTTCTAAGAAATGACTATTTCTAGATAGTACTTTTTAGTGCTTCCATTGAACTCAGCATACATAAAAACATATAAAATTATATACAACAACCCTATATTACAAATATAAAAATAATCCTAAAATACCTATTTGGAAAATTCAAAATGGCGGCGGTTTCTATGAAATGACTATTTCTAGATACTTTTAAGTGCTCCCATCGAACTCAGCGTACATTAAAACATAGAAAATGATATACAACAACCCTATTATTACAATAATATAAAAATAACCCAAAAATATTTGGAAAAATTCAAGATGGCGGCGGTATTTAAGAAATGACTATTTCTAGATAATTTTCAGTGGTCCCATTGATCTCAGCGTACATAAAAACATATAAAATGATATACAACAACCCTATATTATATATATATAAATAATACAAAAATATTTGGAAAAATTCAAGATGGCGGCGAAAACTCGAAATGCCCAAAGGTGACAGAATGTCATCATGCATTTTCTTGAAGCTGTATATGTCCTAGTAACTATCCAAAAATCAAAAAAACTTAATCCAAAATTTTTGGGTTTTGGGCTTGGCAACCGGACTAGCCTGTCAGACTGGGGTTTCGGTATTAGTGTTAAATAACAAAAAATTACCCCCCTAAAATCTTGAACATCCCTGACATAGGTAAAAAAATCTTTTTTTCTCCAGTGACCACAGCAAAATCCTGAAATATTCCTAGCTAACGTAAATATATCATTATTATTCCTGCGGTTGTGTCAAAATGATTTGCAATAATTTTTTTTTTTACATACCTGTAGCAACCAAAAACCTAAACTCCTCCAAAAATCAAAATATTTTCCACCTGTTCTTGTTTTTTTTTGTTTTTATGATAAGATTACAAAGACATTATCATTGTATCTGACTATTTCAGCGAAAACATCTATATTGTGATCGCAAAGACATCATCTTAATTATTATTTCACAACAAAAATTTATGGAAAACAACACTGCTACACCCTAACACTACTTTAAGAACAGATCCATCCCTGATCGTAACTATTAATTAACCATCAGTTTTGATCCATGTTCTAGTAACTTGCTGATTTGTAAAATACCTATAAAAATGCATCAGAGTTAGTCCAAGCTGAAGTATAATTTGAACCAATGATTTTAATTTTCAGCTTCAATATTTCTGTTAAGTTAGTTCTTTTTCCAGGGCATGGAACCTGAGAGATCCCTGCTTGTTATCAACCATTGTCACATGGTTTCAGAAGAAGACAAAGCTATTGTGATTGTTGGTGGAGGGGGAAATTGTTTCTCCTTTGGCACGTTCTTCAACTCAGACTGCGCTGTGATAAAACTTAAAGATATAAACCTCTGAATAAAGGTTGAAGTATTTGTAACGGTTTTTAACTTTCCAAAATCCACTTTCATTCATAACTTGCACTATGACACATTTATACCTGCCATAGGAAAATATCAAAACTAGCCGACCCGTGCGAAGCATTCACACTGAATCCTTCTCAAATCCCACTTATTGAGGTACATGACATACTGTTAATTCTGCGTAGTAAGTGCTTTGTTGATTTAAGTTGGGTCCTTACATCAGGAATAGATGTGGGTCTACATTTTAGATAACTAACCTTTTCAAAATATAATATTATTTACATTTTTAAATGTTTACAGGACCTATTTGAACTCTTATAATTGAAGTAATAATATAGCCATGAAAGATTTTTATTTTGATGTCTTTGTTTTTACACAGACATAGTTTTCACTGAAAAAGCGCACCCTTGACAAAGCCACAAAGACTGAATTTGTAAAAATTAAAACAGGGTCTGGCTTGTGCAATCCTTCCTTCGTTAGCGTCTGACCATGTGTCTAATTGTTGTGGAAAAGGTAACTTTTCAGGGAAATTCCTTCTTAGTAAGTTTTAAAGGACTACGGACTATGACAGTTTGACCAGAGTCAGCCAACTTCACTTTGATAGTGCAGGTGCCGAAGTGAGCTACAACCAACCTTGGATAATGCTTAGGTTTCTCATCAACATAGAGTTCTTTTTAGCATGGGTTTATGAGATAACAAACATAAAGGGCTTAGGGAGTAAAAAAACTCCAATGCATACAACAGAGCATTCTACGTCCCTTGGTAAAGAAGAACCTAATCAAAAGTGTCATAAACAGTTTCCTGTTGGTAACAAATTCAACACAACATAACCATTCATTGAAACCTGCAGTAAATAAAAGATAAGAGGTGATATTTGAAGATGGAATTCTTAAATATACATAGCATGGTTAGTAGGTAGGTACGTCAAAATGAAGACCATGTCGCAAATAAAGAAATATAAAAGCTAAAGAATCCATGCGGTACTTACTTTTGAGTTGTTCTTGTTTAGACTTCTCTAAAGATCTGATTTAATCTCTGGGGGTATTTATCGTAAAAAGCACAGACTTAGTTTTTTTGTCGTCATCTTTGATGTAAAAACTAAACACTCAGATTTGAAAAATAAATATTTGTTTCTTTTGATTAATTTAATTCACATGTTTCAGCTGATCGAATAACGTAAATAAACATTTTAAGTTTAAATTACTTGCAGAATGATATAAATAAATTGTTTTTATGAAAAACTACCGGAAAATGTGTGATTTGTATATTTTAAACGGGAAGTGGGGGAAAAAAAGTTTGAAATGACACCTCATTTATTGCATGAAAATTGGTGAAAAAATAAAAAAGTTATGGTGTACTAACAAAAAAAAACACTTAGAAATTATTATATAGATAATGACTCTTCCCAGATTTAGAGCTGAAAGATTTTTACAATACCCCCGCCTCAGCAAACCTGCCGACTAAGGGAATTTCCATTAGTCTGAATTGATTTCCAATGAAATCTATTTACAGTAATTAAATAACATTAGGTTTAACGTATACTTAGTTTTGCTGCTACAAGGAAACTAATAAGTGTATTTTTTTGGAAAATATTATAATAGCTTAGTATAAAATAAATAAATTTGCCAAGATTGATCAAAATATAACCATAAACAAGCAAACTACACCATTTTACAATATTCTCCATGAGAAATTTAAATTTAAAATTTTTGGAATTTTTCTGTTACCAATAACCATAAAAAAACACTTTGATATACTAAAATATTTTTTTTTCTAAGCTCCTTAAAAAAGTCTCGAGAGAAATTGGGAAATTTTGTGTTTTGATGGTAAAAAATGAAAAACACCTTTTTTACCCCATAAAACTCCATTGTAAAACCCCAAATATTCGAATATTGCACTAAATTCTATTTTCTTCCTTAGTTTTTGTTGCTGACATAGTTGATGGGTCATAAAAGTTTAGCTCATAATAAGTAATTCCATCGGTCTGAGTTGGTAAAAAAACATTGTGTATTCAACAGAAATCAGTTATTTAGATGTGAGGGCAATCTGTCAATAGCTCACATAAACTACGAGAAATTTGATTAAAAAACTGGCAGCAACTTTGACGTGGAGATGGAATGTCTAGTTATGTATCAATAGTCAAAGGTGCAACTCACAAATTCCACTCATCCTGTAAACTTACATCCAAATGGGCCAAAGTTTATTGTAAATGGACCTCTCCCTCAAATGTGACACTGATTGACTGCAGCTCATTTTCAGCTACAGTTTTCAGTTTTTTTGTTGAGTTATCTTTCACGTGTAAAATGTCTAAGTTTTGTTATATTACACGATATATCACCCTTATAAGCTTAAAGGGTTCAATTAGTTTTTTTACACATTTAGAAAACTGGCCTGACTTGCTACCTGATTGAAATACATCAAATCAACATCATGCGATCATGATCATGCGGTTAGAAATCAAAATCAATACTGTAGTTTATATATACATTATTTTGCAATTTTGTTTTGATGTTCAATCTGATAATAAAACTTCCCCAAAAGCTTCACTTACCTAAGAAGGCTAACTACTTGTAGCTCAGGATACAAAACAATTTGTCCTGCAGTCCAAAGCTCCCGAGCAGTCGTCTCTGTTATCCGAGGAGACTCCAGAAATAATCTGGACAACCGCGACATCTTTGTTGGGCCTACTTGGTAACAAAAATTTAAAAGGTCATAATTAAAAATCTGCTAACATCAAAATCACACATGCTTGATCAATTCAAAGTTATTATCCTTTCAATGTAATAAAAGTGTACTGGTAACAGAAACTCCACTTCTTTAAACCTATAAAAAAAGTTATTTCCTACTGCAAGCAGAAACCACAGTTTCAGAAAGTAGACTCAAATCCTTCTAATAATAACTATCAGGTCCACTTCATAGTGTAGCAAACTAAAAAGTTAAAAAAGTTGAGGCAAAATAACAAAAAAATCATTTTATCCTCTGGATTGCTTATATACAATACAGTAATTAATTGTATAATTACCCTAATTGATAATGTAAAAAATTAAATTCTTCCTAATACCTACAGTTTTTCCAATAAGTTGTAAGAATAGGTTTAATAAATTAATAAAAAAGGAGACAAAAAACAGGATATGTAGGCTTACCTTAAACATTGTATGAATCCCACTTCTCAAAAAGAAACACAAAAATATGTTGGCAACACTGATTCCTGTACAGTGAAGGACTTCCAGAATATTCAGTGACTCTCAATGCTGGAGAAGGGGCCTCAAAATAATTTTTTTCTTTGTGTTATCTTTTGCGTTGCTTTTGTGAAGTGGGGCATTCATTTATTTTCATGGTAAGTCTCCTTAACCTGTCCTTTATCTCCTAAATTCTCGGGCAATAAACCTTTTCCAATCTAACCTAAGAATAATAAATATTTATTTGTCACACAACCCAAGAGCACCTGAAGTCAGAGCGGCTTTCCAGAAGCACTGGGGAACATTGTGAGTCCAACTGAAGTCATCACCATCAGCATAGAAGAGCAGTTTTAGTTTCCTCAGGTACCTAAAAAACAAAACTCTGTAGCAAGTTTACTAGGATTGCTTTCAGGGCAGCACAATCCAGTTGAGCGGAGCAATAATGATATTGATCACGTTTCATGATTTTTTATGAAGTAAGAAATTGAAACGTCTAAAGAAAAGACAAACTACCTGCTTCTTCCATCCTCTGCAAACTCGTGCAGTTTTTATCCACTGTTAATATCCTTACTAAACAATCAGCTGATCTTAGTCAGAAACTAAGCTTTGATTATTTATTTTTACTACACACCTCTAAATTAAGCTACTCCCAATGGTATGCGGGCTCCCAAAACGGCTTTGACAATTTTCTTCAAATGCTGTAAGTAGTTTATTTCTGGCCTAAAAACGTGTTTACTGCAGTTAGAACTGCCAACAAAAATCTAATTATGTAGAAAAATAAAACTGAAAGTCAACATTGGCCTAATAGGTTGCTAAGTAACCATGTTGGTTGAACAAAATAACAAGGACAAGGTAAATAAAAGACTAGTGTACCTGTTGCTCGAATTCGAGCAATTGCGAAGCATTACAGGCGACTCAAAGATTATGGAAATACTCACGATCTACACAACAGTTAGATATAATCAATATCTTTTGTAAATATCTTATCTTTTTTCAAAAAGCTTATGTTGTTTTTTAGTGTTTTCTAAACATTTTCCCCTCTCATAGCCGCATTAGGTTGTCTATGACAACGATTATAAATGAAAAAAAAAATTATTTCTATTTCTTCTTCTTGGTTGTGTTCTATGACTTTTTCTATGTTTCCATTGTTTGCATATTGATTATGTTGATGATTGCTCAAGAAATGTAGAACAGTGTTAATTCAGTTTTATTTTTAGCCTATATCAAATTGGCCAGGATTTCTCGCTCTTTTCCATTGTAATAATTATGTTCAAAATTAATAGTTTAAATTTTTTAGCTAATAAAACTCATGTTCTTTTCATTACATTTTTTTGAAACCAATAATCCAGCTGATCAATATAATTATTAAAGTATACAAATAATTGTTCCAATGCATACTAAATCTGCATTAAACCCACTATAAACACTATAATAAAAACTATCTAACATTTCTCCCAGGGGGGTTTCTCAGGTCATCAGCTTCACCAGTTTGGTTACAGGTCTCCTCCAGACTCCGGTGGCTGTTCGAACGTCCGCCCCTCCAACTTGGCCATCTCGCCCAGGGTGTACCACCTCCACTATGCCCTTGGCGAAATGTCCTCCTGTTTGGTTTTCATCAGTTATCATCTTGCCAAATCTTACTAGTACAAATGTAGCCTCAACTTGATCTCCTTTTTCCACTCTGAAATATGCCACTGAACCAAATCCTTTTTCACACGCATCACAAAATATATGCAGCTGCAAGGAGCAATTTGAAGTTAGGTTGTAGCAACGTTGTGTTTTCAATTTTTCTGACTTCTTTACATCTTTCATCCAGTTTTCCCACAACTTCTCCAATTTGGCTGGTATTACTTCATCCCATTGAATGTTTAACTTCCACAGGTTTTGTACAAGGATTTTTCCTTTCATCGTAATCGGAGTAATGAATCCCAATGGATCGTAAATAGACATCACAGCCTGCAGAACCTGTCGCTTCGTTGGTGACTCCTTTAATTGTACAATTTCATTCTTTACTTTAATGAAGTTCACTTTAAAGACAAGGACATCTTCACGAAAGTTCCAGTGCAGTCCGAGAACTCGTTCTGTATCCTCGGCTGATAATCCCAATTCTTCATTCGAGTAATTGCTTGACCATTTTGACTTGGGCAGTGAACTAATTAGTTCCTCTGAATTACTGATGACATTCCTCAAGTTGAATCCTCCTTTCTGGCAGATATTTACTACATCTTTTACCAAAGTTTCTGCTTCGTCAATAGTTTCTCTGCTGTCCAGATAGTCATCCATGTAAAACTGTTCTTGTATGGCATGCAAAGCTTCTTGGTTTTCTTTTCCATATTTTTCAGCATTTTTCCTCATGACATAGATGGCACTAGTAGGTGAGCACACCGCTCCAAAAATCATAGATGTCATACACCATTCTTCAAGATTTCTATTTTCTCCTCTCCAGAGAAAGCGTAGTGCATCTTGATCTTCTGCTATTATTTTTATTCTCAGAAACATTTCTTCTATGTCAGCTGCAAACGCAATCTTGTGTTTTCTAAATTGAAACAGAATCCCAATCAAACTGTTAAACAAGTTTGGCCCAGGAAGTAGATGACTGTTTAAGCTTTGTCCGTGAGCTTTCGAAGCTGCGTCGAACACAAACCGGAACTTGTCTGGTTTCCTTGGGTTGATCACGGAAAAGTGAGGGAGATACCATGTCTTCTCACTCCTGTTGTTAGCTTTATCTGGGCTCAGCTTTTCTGCGTAGTCCTTTTCAGCGTAGCTTAATATCTGTTTATGATATTGTTCGCTAAGTTTTGGATTATCATTCATTTTTTCATCAACATAGTTTAATCTTCGCCAAGCAACAGACCGACTTTCAGGTAAGTGAGGATTGTCTTTTTTCCAAAGCAAACCAACTTGCCAACATCCATCTTCTTTCTGAGAACATGTATTTTCCAAAATTGTTTCTTCTCTCATTTCCTCTTCAGTCTTCTTACAGTTGTAATCTGAGCAATCAAAAAAGTCTGTATTGAAACTTCTTTTGACTATGGAATTAAGCTCTTCCATCTCTGAGCTTATCTCGCTTTTAAACATCACAAATTCCTTATCGACTCGAGTTTGGTAAATGTTTTTTCCAGTGGGGCCATTAATTGTCCATCCCAATTTTGACTTCAGTGCAATAGGTGCATTGGCAGGCCCGATCACAACTTGCAGAGGAACTGTCAGGTGGATGTGCTCATGTCCAATGAGGAGTCTTGGCCGACCACGTCTGAAAACTTCCTCTGGGATGTCTTGTAGATGCGACCATTTTCTTTTCATTTTCTCCATGCTAATTGATTGTGTTGGTAGCTGCAACTCTCTCAATGTCCTCACATTGTCCAGTAATAACTCTTCTCCTGTTTCTCCAAGAACTGTCACTGATATGGTTTGAGACTGCTCTTCAGTGTAAACAGACCCATCTGTCCATGAAAACGATACAGGTTTTTCAGGACCTTCAATTCCAAGTTCTTCTGCCAAATCTTTTTCAATTATGGAAACGGTAGAACCATCATCAATAAGTGCAAACGTGTCAATTTTCACTCCATTTCTCCCCACCAAAGTCACAGAGAGAACTCTTAAGAGAACCCTTGCTATTGTTTCCTCTTGGTACCCTACGTGCTCTGTTTGTACTTCAGTTGGTTCAGGATTTTTTGTGTTCTCATCTTCTTTCTTTGTGAGACAGTGCAACAGTTTGTGGTGAGAGTAGGTACAACCGTTCACTCCACAGGCAACCCTTTTACAGCACTTTGCTGCTCGGTGCTTCGTTTTCAGGCAATTGAAACACACACCGCAGCTCTTGACTGTGTCCCATCTCTTGTTCACATCATATTCTAAGAACTGCTTGCAGTTTTCCAAACAATGTTCTTTTTTCTTACAGCAAAGACACATCCGCTTTCCAGGTCTTTTGTCACTTTCTTCTTGGATAAAAACGTAGTTTCTTTGGTTTGAATTCCCACTTGTTGCACTTTTGTAGTTTCCAGGTAAAGATGATGTACTAGGAGCACATATAGTTGCTGCATCTGCCATAGAAGAAAGCCACATTGAAAAAGTGTCCAGGCCGACAGGATGTTTTATTTGAGACTGTGGTGATGTGACGTGCATTCCCCAATTAAGTTTCATGTTGGTGGATAGCTTATCAGTCAATTCTTCCATCAGTTGGGGGTTGAACAGATAATGATCTTGCTTCAAGGACTTCACTGTCACCACTAAGTTTTGCACCATGTCGCTGAAAGTCACCAAAGTGTCAGGCATGTAATCTTTTGTAGGTGGGCGACTTCTCACACTTGCAATTAAGTTCTTAATTATGATTTCTGGTCTTCCGAAACGTTTTTCCAACAAATTTATAATTTCTTTTACGTTTTCGGGATATATCAATAGGGCTGAAATCATTTCCTTTGCTTTTCCGGACAAGGACTTCTGTAGTCTGAAGATTCTCTAGGTCCGTGTAATCATTCAATTCAGTCGAACGATTGTACTCAGCTATCCAAGCGGGCCATTGGTCAAGATCTCCGCTGAAGCTTGGAAGAGCAGATAAAACTCTAGCAGGCATCTTATCTCTAACCAATTTGTCTTTGTTAGTTAAACATCCATTATTTACTACTGCATTTCTATTTGATTCAAACTGATTGTCATTTGGATAACTTTGAGATTTAGGTTGCATATTTTGAGGGGAACACAAAACATCTCGAAGAATATGCTTCCTATCTTTTCCATTTAGCTCCGGTGTTACAGTCTTTGCATCTCGAGGACCAGCACAATGTTCTTCTCGAGGCCAAAAACTAGACTGAAACTCCTGTCGCTGTATGAAATCTTCCTTCCTCAAAGTCTTCATCTCATTCATGCCACAAGGCTCCAAACCAAATTTCTGATCAGATTTGTCAGTTTCCTTCAACTGCATCCACTGTTCGACAGCTTCCTTAGTCGATATTGGCTCTTGTAGAAGTGAATCGAGCGTCCGTCGTGATTGAGCTTACTGCTACCTCTAGACGATCCCTTGCTAAGAAGTGAAATACGACCTTCAAGTAACCTTTTCTTGACTTCTATTTCCTTCAACTTGGCTTCTTCTTGCACTTGAGCCAGTCTTTTGTCAGCCTCAGCCTCAGCCTCAGCCTTAGCCTTTTCAGCTAAAGCATTTGCTTGTGCACAAGAGATTATTACAGCTGTCTCCTCTTCCTGTATCTTTATAAGCTCATCAACAACTTCTGTAACAATCCTATTTCTACTTTGACTCGAACTAGTTTTGTGAGATTTTGCTGTGTTAGGAACTGACTTACCACTTGATTTATCTTCACCATCTTGTTGTCTTACAAGTGACATTTTGGCTTTGGACCTTGTAACAATTCCTTTATTTGACATTTAGTTGATTCCTAAGGGTTTTCGGCACCAATGTTCAAAATTAATAGTTTAAATTTTTTAGCTAATAAAACTCATGTTCTTTTCATTACATTTTTTTTGAAACCAATAATCCAGCTGATCAATATAATTATTAAAGTATACAAATAATTGTTCCAATGCATACTAAATCTGCATTAAACCCACTATAAACACTATAATAAAAACTATCTAACAAATTACACCAACCCAAGTTTCGTCTACAGATGCAATATGCCAACGAATATCACCTACGTACAATCACCAAGAAGTGGTAAAAAAGGCAGAAACCAACCCATACAATAGGTATAAGTTAACTCCAAAAGGAATAATTTTAAGAGTTACTGTGATATTAGTATTTTCCACTGATTTGGTAATAGAACATTATATTGCAAAACATGAATCGATGCAGAAGAAAATCCAATTTAAAATCAGAAAAACCCACTGCAAATAGGCTACTGTACTTCATTTTGACAAATTCAATAAATCTTAATTTAAATATTAACAGCTGTTTCATTAAAAAGTAATGTAGAATTATGCATATGGTCGTAATGTAAACAAATCTGAAGAGGCAACTTTAAAGGCTTCTGGGGCAGAGCCCCAAGGGAATTTACCTCGTTCCTCTTTTGATGGCTCATCTACAGACCAAGACCTTTCTTTAGATACCCCTACAAAGTTTCTACGCCCAGCCGTTCTCTCAAATTAGCTATGACAAAAACCCCGTTTTCCTCCATAAGAATAACATGGGATAGGAATTTAAAGGCCACTGGGGCAGAGCCCCAAGGGAATTCACCATGTTTCTCTTTTGATGGCTCATCTACAGACCAAGACTTTTCTTTAGACACCTCTACCGAGTTTCTACACCCAGCCGTTCTCTCAAAATAGCTATGACAAAGAAAAACAGTTTCAAATTAATATATAGATTTAACATGTGTAGTATAATAAGCCATCCCCAGTATAATAGTAAATTACAAAATACAGTACAAAGGACGACATAGGAAATGGTGAAGGAAGTAGTAAAGGCTAGCAGCGTTTAGTTTGGGGACTGTTTGTGGCAATTAGATTAATGTATCTAAAATACTTAAATGCTATGAGAAGGGAAGGAAACAAGTCCACGACATAGGAAATGGTGAAGGAAGTAGTAAAGGCTAGCAGCGTAGAGTGTGGGGACTGTTTGTGCCTTGTGGCAATTAGATTAATGTATCTAAAATACTAAAATGCTATGGAAAGAGAGGAAAACAGGTCCAAGATGTAGGGAGTGGTGAAGGAAGTAGTAAAGGCGAGCAGTGTGGAGTGTGGGAACCGTTTGTGGCAGTTAGATTAATGTATCTAAAATACTTAAATGCTATGAGAAGGGAAGGAAACAAGTCCACGACATAGGAAATGGTGAAGGAAGTAGTAAAGGCCAGCAGCGTGGAGTGTGGGGACTGTTTGTGGCAATTAGATTAATGTATCTAAAATACTAAAATGCTATGGAAAGAGAGGAAAACAGGTCCAAGATGTAAGGAGTGGTGAAGGAAGTAGTAAAGGCGAGCAGTGTGGAGTGTGGGAACCGTTTGTGGCAGTTAGATTAATGTATCTAAAATACTTAAATGCTATGAGAAGGGAAGGAAACAAGTCCACGACATAGGAAATGGTGAAGGAAGTAGTAAAGGCCAGCAGCGTGGAGTGTGGTGACTGTTTGTGGCAATTAGATTAATGTATCTAAAATACTAAAATGCTATGGAAAGAGAGGAAAACAGGTCCACGATGTAGGAAGTGGTGAAGGAAGTAGTAAAATCTGTCAGTGCACAGTAGGGGAACCATTTGTGGCAGTTAGATTGTATCTATCTGCAATACTTAAATGCTATGAGAAGGGAAGGAAACAGGTCCACGACGTAGGAAATGGTGTAGGAAGTAGTAAAGGCTAGCAGTGCAGAGTGTAGGAACTGTCTGTGGCAATTATATTAATATATCTGCAATACTTTTATGCTATGAGAAGGGAAGGAAACAGGTCCACGACAAAGGAAATGGTGAAGGAAGTACACTGTTATACACTAGTATACTATGTTATACTATAAACTAATGAGCTTAATTTTGAGCAATAGTTCGACTCATATATTTTAAACCTAAATGCGTATGATCTTAAGACCATGGATAGAATACATTCCATCTACTTGTAAACTTCAACTTGTAAAGTTGAAGCCAGTTGATTTTCTTACAGCACATCAACACTTTCAAATTGAAAGGACAACTTCATGTACAGCTTGTAAAAAGCTTGTAGCAAATTTTATGTCAGTCAAATATCATCAGAGTATTGAAAACTAAGGGAGAAAAGAGAATTTTAGACTTTACCCTAAGTGGGTCTTTCAACTTCTTTCTATTTTTGGATAAAAACTTAGCTTCATACCGGTAGTTATCATGGTGGAAGGAAAATACGGTAGTCATGTAGATGGGATTTCTACTTTATTCAGTATACAAAAGGTTATGGTATATTATATGAAAAAAAATGTTTAACAAGATGCAATGCTGAATGAAATACTGCTTAATCTACTTTACCTAAAAGGTTATCAATTTCCACAACTTTTGCAGCATGTTTTATCTGTGGCTGATATTGTAACAAAAAACACAATCCAAAAAGCTTTGATTGATGTTTTATTACAGAATTTACTGTCATACAAAATCTTCCTAATTGAGGATGTGAAAATATTAAGCTTGGTTTTATACAACATGTTATCAAAACTTGGTAGTGAGAATTTAAATTTCAAAGGATTACAGTCTGTTAAAAATCTAATTCTCAGATTTACAAATGAGGTAAAGTATTTGATTTCCAATAGTGTGAAGCCAGCTCACCCGAAAGAAGTTCAAGGAATTTTAACGACTATAATAAATACTTGATAATGAAAATAAAACAAAGATTTTAAAAGAAACGAGTAAGCATACGACTATAAATAATTTTCATAACTTAATACAAGCCAGTGAAGATTTGAAAGAAATATTCCGAAATATTCAAACAACTTTAAGTGTTTTACAAAAGTCTGGCCTACCACCTACAACAATTTCTTCTAAGAATAATAATATTATTTTCAAAGTTTTACAAGAGGATCCTGAGTACAACGTCAGACTTTCACACATGCTAAAAAATTATTCTGATTTGCCCATTAAAATGTCTTCAGTGCTGATGAATCGATTGGAGAAAAGTTTAGATCCTGATGAATGTTTATCTTTGTGCTTTGCTACTGTGAACATGAATGTATTTGAGTGGTCTTACAGTGGTTCTCTTTCCAACCTGCTGTTTATTACTTTGAGTAAACGTACCAAAGAAAATGAAATTTCAAACATAAGAGAACTCTCTTCCCCACTAGACATCGTTACGTATTTGAATCATTCCATAGAAGAAGTTCAGACACTTAGTCAAACTTTTCCAATAGACGATACCTCAGACGAAGACAGTTTAGACTTCAGAGTCAGGGTTCATAGGCTAGAGCCTTTTGTCGGCAGCAAACTTAATGTGACTTTTCAGTTTCCACCAACGAGCACCACTCTAAGAGTACTCATCATGGAAAATTATCGGCCAACATTCAAGATGATGATGACTGATTCCAGCTTGATTTCTCAACAATCACCACACTATTCTCCCAATTATATGAGAACTAAAGATCACGCATTTTATTACATGGGTGTGCTACCAGGACCTGGAATTCCTGTAAATGAAACATATTCTTTTTCATTTACGGTAAACAGCATAGCCTGTGTGTCCTGGGAAACGGTTGAGTGGGGTTCTGCTAGCTGCAATGTAGGTTCAGACACTGAAGGTGGGGCAATCCACTGTCAGTGTAACCACCTTTCAATATTTGGGGCATTATTTCCTTATACGCCAACCCAAATAGATCCTATATCTG